CTTAAAGTTTATTGTGTAATTTTTTAATAAGCAGAAGGGGGTATTGATTTTTAATTGTAATTTTATTAAGCTATTAGTAGTTTATATAGAGGTATAGCTTTCTGTTTTTTTTAGGTATAAAGAGGATAAGATAGCCTATAAGTAATATAAATAGTTAAATATATCCCTTTTTTAGGTTATTATTAAAGTATTTTTGCAGTGCTTTAAGCTGTTTTTTATTAAAGTTATAGATCTTATAAAACTTAGGGTAACTTTCTTTTTTTAAGGGTATTTTATAGTTTTACTAATTATACTTAAGTAGTTTAGTATTAAGTATTGCTTAAAATAGCTTTAAATATTTTTAGTACTCTTTTAGGATTTGTTTTAAATTATTTGTTTTTTTCTATTATTATATAAAATAAATAAACTTTTTAAATAGCGGCTATATTATTTTATAGTGCGCTAAATATTGTTATCTTTATATTTATTGTAAAGTTCTTTCTAGGGATATAACTGTAATCCCTAGGATTTCTAATAGGTAGTATATTTATTTAAGTATTGTTTGGATTTCCTATATCTGCTACTGTATTGCTTAGGCTAGCTGCTTTGTTTTTCCTTTAGTTTGTAGTGGACTGAGGTGCTATTGTTATTTATTTGATTTATTTAAAGGGTTAGCTATTCCTGCTCTAGTAACTAAGTTTTTCTTTTGTTTTTGGAGAGGTTTGCTATGTGAATCTGTATAAGCGCTAGTATTGCGGCTGTTTTTAAGGACTAAATTTATTCCCTTATCTTTAACTTTCCTATTTATTAGTTAGTTTTAATAGATCTAGCTAGTAGTTTAGTTAATTTAGGGGTTGCTTTTCTTAAGCTATAAAATCTTTAGTATAATTTTGTGTTTTGCTGTGTTTGTGATGTTGAATTGGATAATTTCCTTGTAGTTGTTGAAGATGATTGGTAGATGATTAGTTTTTATATTAATAATCTTATTTTTATAGAGTACTTTTTATTTGTTAATAGTGTTAAGTATATAGGGTTTTGTTTTCTGTTGCTATAGTATTTTGTATTGGTTTACTATTATTGGTAATATAAAGTTTCTTTATGCTTTGCTATTTAGGAGTATTATAAGGGGTTGTTGTTTAATTTGTAGTGTAATTTTTATATGCTTGCATTTTTTAGTATCTGTTGCGCAGAGAGACCTTTTTATATTAGTTAAAGTTGGTTAAGGCTTGTTTAGATTTAGCTTTAGTTGTTTTTTATTATTTAGTTTTTTACTAGGATTTTCTTAATCTGTTAAATAGCTCTTTATATAAGCCCTTTTGCTGCTTTTAGTGCTTATACTATAATAGTAAGGTTTTTTAGTATTATATTTTCTTTGTTAAGCAGTAAAACTATATTAGGTTAATAGCGTTAGTATTAGTTTTAGAGTTTTAGTTTAAGGTATATTTAATAATTGGTTTATAAATAGTGCTTTTATAGTTTAAGGTTTTATAGGCAATATAGGGGGTAGTTTATTTAAAGTTTAAAGATTATATATCTTTAGCTTAGGAAGTATTATTAAATACTTTAGTATTATAGTTCCTTTTGCTTATAAAGCCTTACTATTTTTATTATGTTTAGCTGTTTAGGAAAGAAATTCTCTTTGATTTTGTTTATATAGTGTATCCTATACTTGTTGAAGATATATGAAGCTTATGAGATTTCCTTGTGGTTTGGGTGCTGATGGTGTATTTGAGGGTTGTTGTTGGGAAAACGTGCTGGTAGTAGTGTAGGGAGTCTTTTGCGGACTGCTGATATTACTGCGCTTTTATCCTGTTCTGGGATTATAATTTGGGTAATATTAGTATTAGGTATTATAGGGGGTGCTTTACCTATCTGCTTGTAGGGGTTTTAGTTTTTTAAATTTAAAAGTGCTATTTAGTTAATGCTAACTGCGATTATAAGTAGCTTTTGTTTTGCTATTGTAAGAGTTTTCTAGCCTTTAGGCGCTTTTAAGAATTATTTTAATGCTTCTTTACTTAAAAAGTATGTATTGCAGTTATTGTTATAGTATACTGTTTAGCTTATAAATGTATAGTTTTCTGTGGGTTTTTTAGTAGCTAGGTTGGCTTGTTGTTGCTCTGGTACTGGTTTTTAGTTATTCTTTTTTTTACTTTGGTAATTTTATACAAAGTATTCTTTTTTATTATAGTTGTAGTATTTAATGTTCTTTTTAGGTTTTTTTTAAGTAGTGTTAAGTTTTATTAGGCTTGAATGCTGCCTGCTAGCTATTATTTATAGCTAGTACTGTTTTTTAAAGCTTAGCTTGTTTTATTAGCGGAAGGGATGTATTGGGTTTTGCCCCTTTTTCTTAAGTTTATACTTATAAATTTAATTGTTGATTTAGATAGCTAATTTTATATATTGAATGAAATTGTTCGGTTGGTTTAGTTTAGATAGTTTGTTCTTTACTTTATTTTTTAACTTATTATAAAATATAAAGATTTTTATAATGTTAGTATAGTTGACTCTAGTATAAATTTAGCAGAACTTTGTGGTGTAAGTTATAGCGGGTTCTTTTTAGTATAGTTTTATAAGTTTCCTTTCTGCTTACTGTTTCTTATCTGGGTTTTAAAAGAGTAACTTAAAGGTAAGCTTATAATTTTTAAAGTTATTGAAAATATTTTAGGTTTTTTGCTTATATTATTTGAACTCGTTTTTTTTAAAGAAGTTTGTAAGGTAAGGTTTAAACTATATTAGGGCTTGTTTTTTTAAAAAGGAGGCTATATATATAACTTATTCTTTATTAGATTAATTGTTAAGGCTGTAGAAGCGCTAGTAAGCCTTAACCTAGGTAAGGTAGGCCTGTAACTATCTTAGGGAACTATTATAGGGGGTTGGGTTAGCGAGCTTAATAGATTTTTTAGGTTTAACTAAGGTGTTAATGATATTGGTAGCGCTTTAAAGTGTTTTAATTTTGGCTTTAAGTTTTTCTACTTTATTGTTCTAGCTAGCCTATCTCTAGATATAGGTATAGAGTTTCTTAATCTCTTTAACTATTTTAAGGTACTAGGCTTGTAAAAGTTTAAAGTTATTATTGTTTAGCTCCTGTTAGAGGTTTTTCTGGATATAGCTGGAAGATATATTAAAGTAAGGGTGGTAACTGTATAAGTTATTGCTTAGGGTTTATATAAAACGTCTGAATAAGAGTAGTTAAAATATAATAATTATAGCTAGTTTTTAGCTAATAAACCTAGTAAGCGGGTTTATATTTAGGGAATATTTAAAGTAGTAATGTTTTAAGCAATATATAATAATAGTAGATTAAAAGCTTTATAGCTATTCTAGGTAAATACTTAGATTGATTGCTAAAGAGCTGTTTTAAGCTAATGCTATTTACTAGTAATAAGTGTGATTTATATAGTCTATCTTTTTAGCTGGAATAATAGGAGTGTTGCTTTTAGCAGCTTATTTAGAGCGTTGCTTACCTGGAGCGGTAGGAGCGTTGAATTATTTGGATTATCTGGAGCAAAGCGTTGCTCCAGTTATCTTAGTTATCCTTTCGCTCTATTATATAACCTGCTTCTATTACGTAGTAAATCTTTCTAGGCCTGCCCTGCTGGCCTATAGGGTTTATCTGCGCTTTTAAAGGACTAATAGTGCTCCCCTAGTTCTATTCCTGTCACATTCGTAACATTTTCTTACCTATTATTTGTGCTTGTAGGTTATGCTTGCATTGTATTTAAAATTACTTATTTACTTACTTTTAAAAAAAAAAAAAGGAAGGAAATTAGAGGGATGAAAAATAGAGGGAAAAGGAAAATAAAGGGAGGAAGAATAGAAAAAAAATTTATTTTATTTTATTTGTTTATTTATATAAAAAGGCTATCCCTAGGCTGCGCTCAGTGTAGTTGGCACGATTTAAGTTATATGCTGGGTTATGTAATTAAGTGGCCCCTAAGGATTGCTCGCTATGCAGCTAATCGAGTTGATTTAAAACCTTTATAAATATGCAGTGCAGTGGTTAGCAGATTGACGAACATTGACGAGCAGGAAGCTACGGCCCCGGCCCCAACCCCAACCCTTCAACCCTCTTTCCGTGCTCAACCACCCACCCACCCCCCACCTTGCAACCCCACAGCGTGTTCCAATTAAGCAGGGCAGGCGCATTGTGTACTTGCAAGTAGTGCAGTTACGCGATTGATCATGGCCGCGCGACGGACGGGGAAGGACCCTTCCTTCCTTGGAGTTTGCATCATGACCTCAGACCTCACTACCTCACTACCTCACTACCAACACTTACCAGGCTACTCAGCCCGCCCTCACTGTGTTTTTGCTGCTTGCCTCCATCCGGCACCACGCTCACCACACTAGATCAAAACAACCCGGGAACCACCAGCCTCCCTCACCTCCCAATTTCAAATCAGCATCACCATTCTCATTCTCATTCTCACTACCATCGCCCTCAATCGTCAATCATTATTCCTCTCCCTGACCTGACCCGACCTTGGCCACACCTCACACCCACACTGCAATCTACTCGGCTACTCGACTCGAATGTCTTTATCAATTAACACCCCAGACCACCACCATTTTTCTCTCGAGCACGAGCGGCCTGCCTGGTCTATTGACTTTTGTGTTTGCGCCCGCCCGCTCTCATTCCATCATCGAGGTGCACGCCCACAAACTTAATAATTTATTCCATTCATTCATTCATTCATTCACCCACCACCGTCGCCTGCAGCAGCACCTAGTAGTTGGTCCTGCCAACTTGCGCCAGTGCTTGCCTAGAATCGCCGACTACTGCAACCACTTTATCGCGGATCACCCCCAAGGTTCACATAGCGCGCGTGCACCTTGTCCGTCAACGGGTCCATACCCACAAGCCGCTCCACTCCCTCCACTCCCTGCCTCCCTCCCTTGCCACTTTTTTTTTATTTACTTTCGCTCGCGTCTCGCCGAGTCACGTCTGAACCATCACTGCTCGTCCTGCATGGTCGCACTCTGCACCTCGAGTCCTCCGGCACCTGCAGCCCACCGTCATCATGCCTAGTCCCTCAAAGCGCACCCAGCGCGCAAGGCGCGACTCGACGCGCAAGGAGCTGGCTATCGATCGCCCCGACGATTCTTCTCCCTCGCGTCCTGCGAAGCGCAGAAAGAAGGTTCGTATGCCTATTTGCCTGCCTGGCGACCTGGCGACCTGGCATTTGCCATGCCATGCCTTCCCTTTCCATGCCACGCACGCCATACTGTTCGATCGTCTACTAACGCGCCTGGTTTCTGGATTATAGACCGAGGAAACTTCTCCCTCTCCCAGAGATGTCGTCGATGAAGAACTCGAATCCAGTCTCGCTCCTGACTCCAGTCTTGTCGCCGACGACTCTGTTCACAATGCGAAGCCTTTCGACTATGTCGTCGACAAGGTCGCCGAGTACCTGAAAGCTCCCTCGAACCTCGTCATTCAAGCTCACAAGGACCACTCCAACTCCCGCCTTAGCGGGGAAGACGGCATCAACGCCTACGCCAAGATCGTCGGGCTTGGATGGACGTTTTACGTGAAGAAGACGACCATAAACATTGGCCGCTCCTCTGATCCTCCGCAGCCCGTCGACCCGGACAACGACGAGGAATTCATTCACGTTGACCTGGGACCAAGCAAAATGATCTCGCGCCGGCATGCCAGCATCTTTTTCAGTCCGAGCTACGGTGGAGGCTCCGGTCGATGGGTTCTACACGTCAAGGGCAGGAACGGGGTGAGAATCAATGGCGTTCCTCTGCCTGTCGACGAGGCACAGGCCCTGGGCAGTGGCGACGTCCTCGAAATCGCAACGATTGAGATGATGATGGTCTTGCCCGAACAAGAACCCCTCAGGATTTCAGAACAATATCTCGAACGCGCGGGGCTCTCTGAGCGGGATCTCCCCACCAAGACGGACGACGCTCGTCTAAATCCGCCAAGCTCCACTGCAGGCAGGCCTAGTTCTTCGCACAGCGTCTACCAGGCGCGGCCGGGACGAGGGCAGCAAGCTATTGCGCCCGCGCCGCCTGACTACAAGCGTCCAGGTACGCCGCCGTCTGTGCGGAGCAGGACCCAGACAGTGGCCAAGGCTTCGCCGCTTTTCAGGGGCAATGCTACGGGGAACATGATTTTGAGCACCAATGACATGGACCTCAGTCTTGAGGACAACAAGGCTATCAAGCCCCAGTACAGTTATGCCCAGATGATCACCCAGGCAATCATGAGCACTCAGGACGAGAAACTGAATCTGAACGGCATCTACACATATATCATGTCACACTATGCGTATTATCGGCATCAGCAACCCGCTGGTTGGCAGGTTAGTATCCCCGGTGCCGTGCGTGCTCGCGCTTGTTCTAACACTTCCCAGAACTCGATCCGTCACAATCTTTCACTCAACAAGGCATTTGAGAAGGTTGCCAGGTCTACCGATGAACCCGGAAAGGGAATGAAGTGGCAAATCACCGCCGAATGTCGTGATGAGATGGTCAAGAACGCCTGGAAAGGCGGCCGCGGTGGCCACCGTGGGTCTTCGAACCCATCCTCGCCCAGTGGGCTGAACTACATCACCCAGGGTCCGAGAGAAATGGCAGCCAAGGAGCCCAGTCCCCTTCGCAAGCGCAAGGTCTCGCCCTCCGGATCACCACAGCCTCGCTCCGCTCTGCGCATCTCTCACACGACGCCTGAGCGTAGCTCCCGCCGTCTTCAGTCTGATGACACTGCGGATGTCGGAGATGGCAGTCCCCTCCCAAGACACCGACAGTCAAGCACTGGAGCCTCGGCTGCGCTGAATGAGACCGCTCCACGGTCACCTCTCTTAACTTCCTCGTATCTTCCAGAGGACGGGTCATCTCTGGTGACCCCAGCTCCACTCAAAATCCACCCGAGACTCGCGCCTCCGAGCACGGCTCAGCGTCCGAGTCAACACATGCCCATGAGCTCACCTGCTCCTTTCTGGAAATTTGCCGAGTACGGCAGCACCCCGATCAAGCCTTTAGCGGATATCAGCCCGTCCAAGAACCCAGGACCAATTCCACAGAGTAGCAGCCCCCCACGCATTCCCAAATCTCCTACTGGCAGTCCCACTCAGAACGGCCGTTCGGCAACTCATGAATCCATCAAGCCTGAAGAGCCCGAGGATGAGGAGGAGGGTATCGATTTGACCAAGTAAGTGCGGTCTCGTCGAGTCTCATCTTGAACGAAGGTAGCTAATAGATTACACAGAGGATTCCAGAGCATTAGCTCCTACCACGAGTCGCTGAACGCTTCCATGTCTAAGGGCAACTCCTTCGAATCCACTAACGGAAGCAAAGCATAAACAAGTTCTCTGATCTAATGTCATTGACAGGCTTTCCGGAGTCGATCACTCGGACGAAGCAAAGGAACTCATCCAGCCGCTCGAAGCGCGTCACCAACAAATCCACAAGCTCATATTCTTGGTAGTGTAATGAGCCGAATCTCTTCAACCGACGAACACCATGCGCATGGTGTGCCACTGGACCAGGAGAGCACAAACATAGCACAAGAAATTGTTAAGTTTCTACGTTGCCCAGCAACTCAGTCCCGCAACTGGATCGAGGTGCTTCCATCACAAACCGCTCAAGCTACGGCTTGGAATTGAAGAATTTGCTTTATTTCCAGCCGCATCTTTTACCCGCACCGACGCTGCGAACACATTGTACTAGTATACTATACCAATTTCTTGCTTTCAATTGGGTTAAATTGCGACTTGGCATCGGAGCGGTCGCTAAGTCAACAGGAGTTTGGGAGTTTTCCCACTGGTTACCATTTGCGCGCTCATACGACTGGAACTGTCATGATTTGATGATATCTTGGCCACTGATTTTTGCTTTCAATGTGGGGCGCGAGTTGAGGGTTCTCTCAACCACGGTCATGTATGATTACGATGTATGCTTTATGCTTTACGCTTTACGCATGATGCTTAGTTAGTCGAGGTAGAGAAGGAGGAGTTTGAGCTTCGTCTCGGCCGCAGGCCAGCGAAGCCATGTATGGAATGGCAACGTCTCTATGGATCTCACATCATCACGTCTAGGAACGCACCAAAGCCTAGCTTCATTTCAGTGCCTTCTAATGTCCAGAGAAATGGAGTGAAGATGTCTATTCTCACTTGCCTCCCCCATGCGCCGGCTTTTGGTCTACTGCTTGCTATATGTAGAGGGCTCTGTGCACTATCCAATACATAACCTTGTATCTCCGTGGCCTGTCTTCCGACGCTGAAGAAAAAGAAGACCCTGGCCGCCATCTTCTTTTTGCTGTTGTTTGTTTTTGTACATGTGTTTTGATACATTCGACAGTGTGCAATATGCAGACGAGTTAAGATCTGAGTAGAGAAACGCCGCCCCATGTAATGAATACGCAAGGTGGGAAAAATGGAAACACCATTGCCAACAAGAACACGCGCCGTCGCTCCTTGCCTCCTCCATTTTTTCGCTTAGGTCCCGCCGCCCCGTCTATTTCGACACATGCCTCGCCTTCCCACCGGGTACTATTGTTCCTCCGTCACGCCGGCCGGGAAGTCAACCCATGCTGCTGCCACTGCCCTTCCAGAATCGGCCAAAGGATAGATCCCCACGAGCCCCGTCCTTCTCGACAACCTAAGCCGTAGTCGGGACTTGGGCGCCACCGCGCCGGCTCTTGGGGTTCTTGCTGCGGCCCGCGCCGCCGGCGGTCTTCTTGCCGGGCTTGGACTTCTTGGGGGCGCCGCCCTCGATGAACTTGATGAGCTCGTCGATGTTGCGGGCGTCCAGCGATGGCTTGCCCTGGACCTCGTGGCTGGCCACGCCGGCGGCGGGTGCGGAGGCGGCGCCGCCCGCGACACCGGAGCGGACGCCTGAGGACAGGTTGCGCGGTGTGAAGCGGATGCCGGCGCGCAGGCGGCGAGCCTGGACGTCCTTCTCGTGCTTGGCGATGGACACGGCGTTCTGCGTCAGCTGCTCGAGCCAGCTCTCGGCCTCCTTGGTGTTCTTGTCCTCTGGGCCCAGTTCCTGTAGGAAGATGTTGTAGCTCTCGCGCATGCGGTTGACAGCGCCCTTGGAGTCTTGGTCCAGCGCCAGGGCCTGCGCGAGCTGGAACAGAAGCGTGGCGCTGTTGATGGACTGCTTGCCAAAGACCTTGTCGCAGATACGTAGCGACTCCTCGAACCAGCGGCGCGACTCGTGGTACGCCTTGAGGTGCTGCAGCATCACGGCCGCGTTGTTGATGGTCGTGATGGTGTCCGGGTGATCGGGTCCGTAAATGATCTTCCACAGTTGCAGCGCGTGCTTGGCGTACTCGAGGGCGCTGCGGCTGTCGCCTAGCTGGTGCAGGAACAGGCTGAGGTTAAGGTAATCGAGGAGTGTCTCCTGCGCGTCGATACCGACGGTCCTTTCTGCAACCATGATGGCCTTGCGAGCAAGTTCGACAGCGGCCTCCTTCTCGTCCAGTTGGAAGTAAAGCATGGAGAGTTGGTGGTACACGCGCGCCACCTCTGGGTGCAGTATGCCGTGGATCTGCTCATGCAGAGATAGTGACTCGAGCAGGAGCTCTTGGCCAAGTTTCCTTTGGTTTTGCGCAATGGAAATTCTTCCTGCCTCCAGAGCTTCCTCAGCCAGTGAGCTGCGTGGTGCAGAGTCCTTGACAATAGGCACAACGTTGACGATGTCGTCAGTCGTGAACGTGTGGGGCACGGTGGTCGAGGAGGCGATAGAGGCTGGTGAGCCCTCACGTGCCTTCTTCTTCTTCTTCTTGCTTTCACCGTTGCCATTCAATGGTGGAGTTTCGGCAGCAACGGGTTCTGGTACCGACGCTGCAGTGAAGGCGTACTCTTTGGACTGCACTTGGAGACCGAGCTTCAAGCAGATCTCGCGCAACACTTGGACTTGGCTGAGCTGTGCGTGCCACTCAGCATCGAGCTGGAATCTGAACCTTCGAGACGCCTCAAGCTCGACAGCCTTCCTCAGGCTCTCAGGGGTGACAGTCTCGAATGAAAGGTCTGCATCGCTGTAGAGGGATCGCAAGGACTGGTCGATGTCGGCAGATGGCTTAGGGTTCAGGCCAACGCCCAGGAAGCAGTTAAGCAGATGCGCAATGCAGGTGGAGGTAAGGGGCAGTGGCAGATATCTGAGGTACTTCGCAGCGACGTGCTTGAAGGACCTCACAATCATGTCTCGAACGCAGACGTCACGCAGGCACTGCAGCCGCGAGCCCTCGCTCTGGGATGCAATCTTGCCCAAGTACCGCATGTTGATGCCGCGCTTGTGAAGCAGATTGCGTAGTGACGTGCCGTCCATTGGGAAGCTGATGTCGGATTCCTTCAGGTCATTCAGCAACTCAGGGATAGCCGTGTCCCGAAGATAGGCACAAGCTGATCGAACTTCTTGCTCGTCGGTGGCCAGCTCTTCCTTTTCGGCATCAGTCTGGGCCTCTTGCCCACTGAAGACATCAGGGTTGAGAGCGAACTTGAAGTTGTTGACGTCGATTCGGTCTTCTTGCTCTTGGCTTGCCGTGGCCTCCTCGGTCTTCTCAGCCTTCTCCACCGTCTTGTCTTCGGCCTTTTCATCCTTCTTATCCTCATCCTTCTTATCCTCGGAAGACTGTTCCAAGGCCTTCGCGTCCTTTTTGGCATCGGCACGCCTTGCGATCTCGGCATTAACCCACTCGCGCATCTTATGGCGGTGGACAAGCTCAACGAGTTCTCCTCGCAGGACCGTCATGCGATGCGGGTAGGGATTGGTCTCCTCCTCGGCAGCGGTCTCCTCCAACCAGGCGATATCCAACGGGGTGATACGGTAAAGATCCAGCACGTATTTCCGGCCATCAGTTCCGAGGAGGCCCTTCGTCTCGACACTGGCCTCCAGGTCAAATCGCTTGCCATCCTTGTCCCAGACAGCATGTTTCTTGACCTTCATGGCCTGAGAGAGCTTCTCGAAAACGGAAGTAAACTTCTCGTTCGCTGCCACAACATCCTTGCCATCGACAGCACCGTAGTCGATCTGGTTCTCACCAGGTTCTCGCTGCTTGAAAATACCCGGAACAATGCTTTGACCAACAATGCGCTTGCCGAGGTAGTCCACGACCACGGTTCCGGGGGTGTAAAGGCCCTCAATATCCAGTTGGTTCACAACCTTGACACCGGCCACGTCCTTGCCCGTAGCAACACGTGCTGCCTCGTCGCCACCCTCAGAGGTGAAGGTGCCCACTCCATCAGCACCAAAGGAGAAGAATACGTTGTTGTACACATAAATCTGAGCATCCCGTGCCTCAGTAGGGTTGAGAGGGGCTACCTCGCCCCGAGCCACCTGGACAGCTCCCCTTGCTGCAGCATCGTTGTAATCTGCGTAGAGTTTCGCCAGCAAACGCTCCCTGAAAACACGGTCCTGGACATTTTCCTTGGGCAGCTCTTTGGCCGACTGAAACTCCTCGTTCCAGTCCCGTAGAGTGTCGGTGTTCTCCACGCCGGCGATGAGGTAGGACTCCTGTGTCCTCGTGATATCGGGTTGGTGAGCGCAGAGTGGGGAAGCTGATGACGGTACCACCCATGGCGCGGAGGGAATAGCATTGGTGATCTGGAAGGTTGCCAGGGGTTCCCGGCGGTTGTTGTGCTCCTGTAGCTGTGCGAACGAGGCGGCAAACGATGGGGAAATGTCGCCAATGAGGGCCAAAAGAGAGTGCGCAGACGCACCCTTTGGCGCCAAGCGGGGCAACGGGTCGAACTTTGCATTGGATGACTTGTTGACAAAGAAGCCCCCAACGTGCGCCGTGATCTGGAACTGTTCACCCTCGTTGGTTGTCACAATCAGGTAGAGCAAGTGTCCTTTTTGACGGAGGTGGGCGGGAGGTGGGTTCCAGGTTGAAAGTTGGATAGCCTTCACGGTCTTGGGGGCGGGATCTTGCTCTGCCGGTAGCAAGGTCGACACTGGAGGAACAACATTAAAGTCGTACTCCTCGACGGCGGCTCGCTCCTGGTTCGCCTTGTCCGCTGTGTCCCCAGCTTCTGCGGCAACTTTTTCGTAAAGCGAGGCTCCAGCAAGAACGCCTTGTATAGTATCGGTGCGGTCACCCGACGCACCAATGAGTTCACGAACCCTGATGAGATGTATCCTCGCCTCCTTCTCAGTGTATGGGTCCTCAACAAGGTGGATTTCAGCATCGGGGCCGATGCCATTGATCTCGTTGATGGCTATGAAGTCGTTGATCCTTTCGCCGTTGTGCTCGAGGTGGAAGCAAGAGTACTGCAGAGCTGCTGGTAGCTCGATAATGGACTGTCGAACTTCGTGGACTTGCTCATGGGGAGAGACCTATTGGGTAGAGATTCAGCGCCTCAGAACACCGTCGTCTTGACACATCCTTGCTAACCATGATGTTGACCTTGCCCGGGGCATGGGGCAAGATAATATTCAACAGAAACATCGCATCTACAGTTCATTAGCACAACAGCCCTTACCCGGCGCATGAAGGGGCCGACGAGTCCGGTACAGTGGTCGGTCCTGCTGAGAAGCGGGCGTACCTTCTGGATTTGGCTCCACCCCATCGTCCACAACCGGCGCTGGAGCAGCGCCATTGGCCTCGGGGGTCGAGGTTTCTGGCGCAGCGTTCTCTGAAGTCGCGGGCTCTGTCAGCACTCACGCGACCAAACCGAGGTCAAGGTGTTCCAAGGGAAGAGTAAGTTTGGGGGCCCGTACCAGCCGCTGCAGCCGTATCCTTGGACACATCAGCCATTTTGGATATTGAATTGACAACTTGGACCGACACAAGGCCAAAGTGCTTGTCGACGTCCCTCTATTTACAGCTGAGGGACAATGGCTTCCAGATGCGCCGACCCAAAAAGAACGGACTGGGGGATGGGGAATTTTGGGAGGGATGGGAAAGACAAAAGCGCCCCTTCAGACTTGAGACGGGAAAGAAATGGGGCCAATTCAAGATACTCAAGGGATATCTGGAACAGACAAGGTATGTGAGGCGTAAAAATAAGAAAGAAGAACAAGAAACCGCAGACTACAGCTCAATACTCTTTGCTCTCTACGCTACATACGTCGACGATTTTCAAAAAATTCTGCGCTAGGATAACCCGTTCTGCCGGCAAGACGCGGGTGCGCCCCAGTGCTGCGAGACTGACTGGGAGAGCAGCTGCTGCAGCCGGGGACCGGGCAGGCAAAGGCACGTCTGCTCCGTCTCCCGTGCGCCCGAGCTATGCGTACATTACCTAGGTACCGTTCCGTACCGTGCTGTACCGTACCGCACCGTACCGTCAGCCCACAGGCCATATATATAGCCTTTAATCCATCACATCGAACACGCAATGGCTGCTCCATGGGATTCAACTCGTCAAGTTCGTTTTTGAAGAAAAGTGTTCAGCATCATCCCCGTGGTGGAAAAGTCATAGGTCCACAGTGCTGCTGGTGGGTAGCAAGGGATTCAGTCCATTCCGTCATTCCATTGGCCCGCAGCCGACGTTGAGCTTCTGACGTTTTGGGAGCTTGAATTCTGGGGAACTCTGAACTATGGAGAACCCGAACCCTGGTTGCTGTGGCCAAAGTAAACAAAACTTCGCTCACCAACAATGAGGTCCATTCATTATAGGCAGCCATAACATTCAACAACATCGCCATCGTAGCCCTCGCCGTCGCCACCGCATCGATACAAGACTATTATCTCAACTAATGGGCTCATAATTGCTTCAATTATCTGAGCGCTTCTCAAACGGCAACATCACATACGCGACGACACTAGACGGGAAGGTCATGGGGAGCATTTGCTTGTGATCCCTTTTTTTGGTCTTATCGACTCATTGAATATGGAGCCATTGGATACCCAGAGTCTTACAACATGGCACACCCATTCCTCAAACAGGCGCCGGCAATCAGCAAGAGAGAACTTGCAGCCCTGGACACCTACTCGCTGTCATCGCTTGCTTCGCCCATTAAAGACACATATTTATGCGCTCAGGCGCGAGATCGACCTGGAGGACTCGGAGAGGCTGAGTGACGATGTCGCCCAGAATGGCACCGCTGAGACAGCTCGTTCCAACCTCCAGCGTACATACTCACGGAGAGGACGGAAGGCACGGGGGGCTCCTAGTACGTCGGGAGGCCCAAAGAGTTCCACCACGGGCACCTGGAAGAGAATCCCGAAGAGGACTATCACCCAGCCAGGAGAGATTGTCCTACCAACACCTCTTATCCGCCGGGCTCGAGGCCAGCAATTGTCGTCACCAATACAACAACCACCATTGGCAGACGCAGGAGGGGGTGTAGCTGGGAAAAAGCGGTTCGCGGCGCTCCAAGGCCAGCGAACCCCGTCTGTCATCGCAGCACTTGAGAGCGAGATGCAGCCGCTTCGCAGCCGCGTCTCGCCAACCAAGTTCTCGCTCTATGATTCCATACTCCGAGCCGTCCATGCCCTTCTCACAGCCACTGCAGCGTCGTCCTCAAACTCGCTAGGGCACAGGTCTCTCGTTGCGATGTGCCTCCGCAAGGTCCCTGAGTACATCGGCGAGCTCGAGTACTGGGAGCAACGTGACGCGGAGGAGCAGGGAACCAAGTCGACGCTGCAAAACTCAGATATCTCAAATGAGATCTACGGCCAGGTCGAGGCCATGCTGCCGGCGAGCCATGGAGCCGGTCATCTCAGAATGGTCGTCCGAGCCCATTGTGTCAAGGTCGTCAGAGACTCAATAGCCGAGGGCCTGCTGGACGACGGCTTTTCGATATTGCTCATCAAGCTTTGCTGCAAAACAAAGTCTTTCCGGGAGGGCGAGGAATTGTTGCGAGAACTGACTGACCGTTCTTATCCAAAGCCCAAGGGCGTCGACAGCACATTCGAGGAGAGTCGCAAGCTCGCAACACTGAAAATTCTGAGGGACTTTGCGAGGGAGTCCGACAGACCACAGTTCATGCAGCGACAGCTCTGCAACTTGCTATCCAAACAACAACTGCCGCTCCTTTGGCTATCTACCAAAGAATTTGGTTTGATATGGTCCAGCATGGTTAAGGCTCTTTCTGGAAATGCAGTCTGCGATGACACTACATCATTCGCGGTACAAATGATCACGTCACTGAGTACACAGACCAGGCTTGAAGCGCTGTCTCTCAGAAAATACAGTAACGACCTTAGGAGCTTATCACAGCAGACTTTGATCAGTGCTATTACGGCAATTTCAACATTGTCAATTCTGGGCCAGGAGGCCAGGGGTTCATCTACGTCTGAAATTAGTCAGACCAGGAGATCTTCAGCATCACAGAAAGTTAAATATATCCTTCACAGATGTATGTTTGAGTTGAGGAAGACCAGGAAACCAAGTTGGCCAGCCACTACCTTGAACCTGGCAGCATTCTATACGAACACATCATCAAGCAGTCCCAAGAGTACCGACATTTCAGGAGCTTTGGTTCAAACCATATGCAGCCAAGAGAGCAGGGAGAGCAGACAGCACTACGAAGCAATGACAGCGCTCATCGGCTCTATCGCGCAGTGCTGTGGCCGAGGGTCAACCCAACCGTCGCACTACTATCTGACCAAGCTTTGTGATCAGCTCGAGCTGGAGTTGTCTCCTGAGTGTCCCCCAAAGACATTGCGGATGGACTGTGCCTTCATCCTGGCAGAGCGGACCAACGATCTCCGCGATCTCGCTTTCGCTGAGTCACTTGACGCTGCCGGATGCACACAGGAAGTCTTACCAACACCTCGGAGAAAGTCCGCATCGTCATCCTATCGTTGGGACGAAGACATATGCGAGTGGATCACGGTCACTCCAGCGCCAATGCAGCGACAACGACAGCGACGAAGCTTGTCGTCCAGTCTGTCGCCACTGCCGGGACAGAACCTTGGTCCCGGTGGGGGGCAGGATGCAGACTCGGCGAAACGACTTCAGCCGAAACAGAGGCAGAAACTTGCTCGCGGCGTGTCAGCTCACGCAGATTCTGCCGTCAAAACATCAAGGCGGCTCCGCAGCGGCACATCACTGGGCAAGCGGGACTTGGAAGCGCATCAATCGGCCGATCCGCTACTAGATGATGGTGATGATGAGGGTGTTGAGGCTCTGGGCGCCCAGCGCAACAGCAGCAATGAGAATGGGCTGTCGCCTCGCCAAGATGGCGCAAAGAGGCGTCGCACGACAACGCTGAAACCATCTCGGGCCATTTTGAAAACAATAACCAACATTGCTCGCGACGATGCATGCAGCGAGGACGAGCTCGGCCTCTGACAAGGTGTCTCGCGGATAGGGTGGTGATTGTTAATCCCCCAGATGGGTAGTTTTGGTGAGGGACCGCAGGCAAAGCAGAATTGGTAATTCGGTATGACACGTCAGGAATAGAAAACGCATTAATCTGCCACATTTTGTGTGCGTGGACGCTGTCGCAGAGCCAAGCTTGTGAGGCTGTCTACTGTATCAAGATAGTGGAGCCTCGGGACGTTTGGGCGGCACGCAGAGCCGCATGTGCTACAGGAACGTAGAGTGCATTGCTCGCAATACGTGATGTAGCGTCTTCTGTCGATGGCTGCATGTGGTGCAAAAATTTTGTTCAGGCCCGACACAGGCATAGGGCCCAGTGTTCTGTTACCGACCGTCTGTAATGATGTGATGCTGATGGAGATCTCGAGACTCCATTGATCGCACGGACAGTAAAGCCGAGCGAGACTTGGCACTTTGACGCACGACCCAAAACAGAACATTCGGTCTCGCTTGATCTTGCCGTTTCACCCAAGACTGAACGAACATGCGTCTTGGGGTGTGGGTGTGGCATTCAAATCGTCAAGGACAGCCGTGATGGGCGTGGTCTGATCTTCCTACTCGTCGGCGCCCTTGCCCTAATCCCTGGCGGTGATCTGCTACCGTAGCTTGCTCGCGGATCGCCGCCGAGGATCGCTACCGCCGAGGCGACACCGCCGACCGAGGTCAGGGTTGTCTGGTAGGGTGGTAGGTGACGAGGGTTGAGGGCCTGTCGAAGTGCTTTGGCGGTCGCGCTGGCGTGCTTGACGCACCTGAGATTTGTCTCGGGCAGTGAGTGGGTTCTTGGAGCGTTTCGGGCTGCTGAGGATTTTCGAGAATGTGTGGATGATTACCCAACCTTCATCTAAAGTTGGAGTGCCGGCCGGCTCTCTGGTCAAGGCCCCCCACGAGAATCAGATGGCATCTGTCCTTGATAGACTCCTAGGTCGTTTCACCTGCATCTTCAATGTGTGATTCGTCCGACCGCAAACCGCAAAGCAGGACGATAAGGGAATATTGGAGCGACGTTGCCGCAAGCGAACGCCTTACCGGGCAGCACAATGTTTACCTCGGAGTTCATGAACTCTATCGCGCTATGCTTCGCTGGCAGATAATAGATTAAATCGGCACTTGGCAACTGATAACTTGCGATCAGCTGGCCATGACATCGGATGGCTTCAACTCCCAAGCAACATCAATCCAGCTAGGCTGCTGCGAAACTAGGTGAACTCAATGTGAGCTTTTCGGAATTTCAACACGGGTTCTTAAATGACCAGACACAAGTGAAGTCGGATCGGCGGCATGTAGATTAAAAACATGGCCTGCCGAGCCGCGAGTCTGCAAGCCTATACAGTGGTTCTCTTGCTAGTGTTGGGGTTAATTTTGGGCATTTGAGCACGGGATGTGCTTGTCCGCTTCAAACAGTCGACCAAAATATGGAGCATCGCAAGAAGCTTGTTCAATATTGCGAATAGCTTGATCTATCAGGCGTTCAGCGGTCCGATCAACCGTGGTGGCAGATCGATGCTGTCTCAGCCAACTACCCTGCATTGGATCGTTGCTGGGGGCCCACGCGGCTCGTTGGCGTATGATATAGAGCGTTGATATAGGCATCTGCATGCGGGTCTGACAGTGGGCAGTAGCGTACTCTATGAGAAACTGTCGCCGCGAACTTTCAATTCGTAGAAGCAACACTGGGGATATGAGGAGTGAAAACACTCAATCATGTCTTAGACGACTCTTGCGTGCAACAGCGCTAGGCCAATGTCCAGACCCCCTTAGTCATTTCCGTCTGCCAGGGTCCGCCTGCGTTGTGGCCCTCACCAGCTCGCCAGGCTGCAGGGGAGGGGGAGCTTGAGCATGATGTGCAGAGGGAACTGTCAGCCCTCGGGTAGATCGAATACTTAGTAGGTGGTGGTAATGGTACTCTGGCTGTGGCAGTAGGATAGACCGAGAGTGTGGTTCTCGCCAAGCTGCGTGGGCATTCGGGACCCTATAGGATCTCTGACCCTCGGGACTAGCCAACGCCCCGAGGCAGTCCCCAGATTTCGGAAACGCTGATGGGGAACTTGTTTACTACGGTCAGGATCTCCGCAGGCCTGTGGGTGATCAAGATCGTCCTCCAAGATGACGGTTGAACCTGCTGATTCTTCCGTCAATACCTCAGATACGAGGGGGATATTTTTGCCCAGCTGTGCCAGCGTCTTGACAGAGTTCAGTGTGTAATTGCACGGACTCGTGGCGAGCTGGGCTGAGTTGCGACTCCACCAATCGAGGGCGCCTAAATGCGGTAGCAGTGCCCAAACAGGCATACAACAGGGATGTCGGCGCGAGAGGCTGTCAGGGACGGGAGGTGAGAGGTGATGTGAGTGGGCCGCCCCTGAGCAGAGTAGTGGTGGGGCAAGGTTGTTTGGCCCGTTTCACATGTCCGTGTGCAGAGGCCTGCCATCCAATGAGCCGTTGTCAATCGACAAGCTTCGACAAACTTCGCCGGCCGAGAGGGACATGAGAGGCGTCGACTCATCGGTCGAATTTTCCCACCCCGCCAACGAAACAGATCGAGGCAGTTTCGCAACAGTGGAGGACGTGGCCACCTGCGCAAAATGTGGTTGTTATTCGTCACCGGGCCATGCAGAGGCTGAAGGGACATGGCGTAGGAAGAAAATGCAAAGAGTTGGGATGACCAAGCATCTGACAGCAGGCATTCAGGGTATCGGCACAGGGGCCTGCTTGCTCGCCTGCTTGGCGACCAGGCGTGCAGATACCAAAGTAAGACCAGCATGACGGAAGAAGCCAGAAAGCGAGCACTGCACCGGCTCCCAGGCACGCCAGGGCTCAGGCATCGCCGGCTTGTGGGTGTTCTGCTGTTGCTATGTTTATTCAGACGACGGGAGGACTCCGTGGCTGAGAGGGTGATTGGCGGTGATCTCGGCCATAGCGTCCTGCATGGCACAGGGCCGGCCTGGGATTGCCCTTGCGCAGCAGTTCGTGAATCATGGGCGAGTCGTCGCAAGCGGGGGGCAAAGCGTCGACGACGGAAGTTTGGATGAATGATGCAGGACAGAGCCGCGTTTGTCGTTACTTTGTCCACCCGCAGCCGTACTTCCAGCTCCAGGGAGCGGTGAGAGCTGAGCGGGAGCTGGGAGGTGAGAGGTGGTGATGGAAGATGGGAGGGCCTGAAGAAGCACATGCATCTGTCGGGTCGCCGATCTTCTGGATGAGTGGCTGTAGTGCCATTCTGTTGAGATCTGACCGGGCACAGGCAAGATGGTTGACTCCGTCAGGTCCGTCACTCTCGGAGGAGCCCCAGTCGAGGAAGCCAGGGCCAGGGCCGGGGGCTCAGAGAGTGCAGTGCGGACAGAGGTGACAGATGCGAGATAAGCAGATGCAAAAAGAGGTGCGAGGGCGAGGTGCGGACGATGAGACGGCAGAAAGTAGGCGCGCGCCGATTTGTGGGTTCCAAGACCCGTGGACGTTTCGATGTCGTGGCCCAGCGCAGCCCCAGGTTTGCTTGGATGCTTGGGTGCTTGGGTGTACTGGGGTGTGCTGGGGCTGCCGATCCATGTGCACAGAGAGAAAAATGAATGCAAACTGTGCAGCCAGAAGCCAGAGTGCAGTAAAACATGTATGTATGCAGTGCGACAGAGCACACACAGAGCACGCAGAGCACTCATGCATGCCAATCATTGCCAGGTCTCAGGAGGCGTCGGGGGAAGTTTTGGGCCACTGCACTGCAGTACGCAAACGCATATCTAAGTGGTCTAGGAGGTCTAAGAGGGAGTACGTATACGTAGTACACGTACACACATTGAAAATTGTATGTAGGTACGGTGGCTCGTGGCACCGTATCGGGCAGGGCTGGTTGGCTGTCGGGTTGCGGGCTGGCGGGCAGAGCGGGAAGGCGCAGGGTACGTACCCCGAGCCCCTGCCCCCTGTCAGATACCACCACCAGATACCCACCCTGTCAGCCAGCCCACCTTCCATCCCTCCCTCTCTCCCTACCCCGCTGGCGTGTCCCTTCCCTTACCAGCGCAGCCATTGCCATCCTTCTGAGGAGCTTCCCAAGGCTGCCCAGGTTCCCCTGAGTCGTCGCTCTCGCCCTCCCATGCCAGGACTGGATGGCTGTCCCAAGTAGATCGCGGCAGCCCTTCGACAGGCCACTTGATTGGACTCCACCAGGGATTCCACTTTCGACCGGCGACCACGTCCTTGGCATATATCCGCTCGTCACGTCCCCTCTTGTCTCTCTAGCCATGCGGACCCAGGCCATCCAAGATTTCACCACACTTTTCTCATTTCACTTCAACCCAGCAGTCCGCGACTCTTGACGTCTTGACTGACTCTCGTCTTTCCCTCTTCTCATTTACGGCCCTCAATACTCTCGATCCTCTTTTTTCCATCGAGCTGTTGGGCACAGGCACTCCTTTCACAGTCTTCACTTCGTCAACGGCTTTTTTTCTCATCAGCCCCCTTTTTCCCACCACAGCAATATCATCGAATTGCTTATTCAACTCGCCACCTTACCTCACTTCACCACAGTGACATAACGGTCGAAGCAACTGGATTTGTGATTCAGGCCACAGTCAAAGGACAACTCTTCTCACTTTGACAGCAAACTCGTGTTGACTTGAGTGTATTGGTTGGACTCGACTCAGCAACAAGGGGGACCAAACGAGATCAAGAACAGCCAGTTTCAATTGAACAAAGGAGAGGCAACGAGCACGCCTCCACAACATTCACTATATCATACGGGTCCCATACGAACACTCGGCAGCCCTCGCCAAGACGCGACCCGCCCGGACCCGCCACCTCGGAGCATTCGACTCACTCTGCATTCCAGTCTATTTCGTGCTGGTCTCGAAATCAGACATCCGCCCTTTCTAACTTGACAGCCTCGATCTTTCTGGCCCTCGTGGCCCAAAGACGTCACCTGTTCCTCGCGAATTCCACGCCGAGGCCGACGATAAAGCCGTCCTCCACCTAGGGACCTAGGGACCAGGCCGTCACCCAGGACTACCAAACTCTTTCCATCCTCTCACCACAACTCGTTCAAGATGGCCGAAGGTGCCAGCTCAGGCGGTGATGGCGAGACCGCACAGGCCATCAACCCCTTCCTTGAAAACCAGCTGCTCTCCAACTATCTCTACTACATTCTTGCCATCATGGCAGCCTTGGTCATCACCCACAAAGTATACATCACACTCGTCAGATACGTCCGGACAGTCTCGTCACTGAACAACAGCACCCAATCCTACTTCGCCAAGGAGTCATGGGGACATGCCTTCTTCAAGAGGTCCTTGCAGTATGCCCCCGTTCTGCACAAGAGACACAATCGCGAGTTCCAGATCAGCTCCGCCATCAACATGGGCACCCTTCCCACTCGGCTTCAGCTCTTCGGTCTGCTTGGATATTTCGCCACCAACGTGGCCTTCTGCTGCGTCGACATCTCATTTCAGGGCAACTTCGAGAGCTGGACGAAGATGTTCCTCTACCGAACCGGCGTTCTGGCCGTTGTCAACATGATTCCTCTCTGGCTTATGGCTGCGCGCAACAACCCTCTGCTTTCGTGGCTGGGCATGTCTTTCGACACCTTCAACCTGCTGCACCGATGGCTGGGCCGTATCGTGGTTCTCGAAGCGCTGGCTCACACCATTTGTTGGATGGCCTCCAAAGGGAAGCCCTTCTCCGTGGTCATAGGCATCACAGTGAAGAGTCCCTTCCTGATGTTCGGTCTCATCGGCACAATCGCCTTTGTGTTCATCTTCATCCAGGCGTGCAGTGTTTCGAGGCACGCCTTCTACGAGACGTTCAAGATTCTCCACATCGCCGCTGCCGCTGTTGCCATCGTCGGCGTATGGTACCACCTCCAGATCAAGGACTTGCCCCAGCTCAAGTACCTGTACGCTGTTGTCGCTCTTTGGTCCTTCGACCGTGCTGCTCGTCTGATTCGCCTCGCGTACGCCAACATTGGGTCAGGCGGCACCAAGACTCTCGTCGAGGCCCTGCCCGGCAATGCTGTCCGCGTTACTGTCAATATGGCACGACCTTGGGCCTTCGCCCCTGGGCAGCATGCGTACCTGTACTTCCCTAGCGTCAGCTTCTGGCAGTCGCACCCTTTCTCCGTCGCTTGGAGCGAGGAGACAGACTCGTATGATGGCGAGAAGCTGCCTATGGACCGAAACGATATCCTCTCAATGCGCAAGACCAGCATGTCCTTCATCATCCGAGGTCGAACAGGCGCTACTGGCTCTCTGTACAAGAAGGCAGCCGCATGCCCTGATGGCAGAATGGTGACGTCGTGTTTTGTGGAAGGCCCTTATGGCGGCGACCACAAGCTGCAGTCGTACGGCACAGCCATGCTTTTCGCAGGTGGAGTCGGCATCACCCAGGCTGTGCCGCACGTGCGCGACCTGGTCGCCGGTTACAACAATGGCACAGTTGCGGCTAGGAAGATCGTGCTTGTCTGGATCATCCAGAGCCCCGAGCACCTGGAGTGGATCCGCCCATGGATGACCGAGATCTTGGCCATGGAGCGCCGCCGTGAGTGCCTGCGCATTATGCTCTTTGTATCCCGTCCTCGCTCCACCAAGGAGATCCACTCCCCCAGCGCGACCGTGCAGATGTTCCCGGGCCGTCCCAACATCGAGCACTTGATCGGCGCGGAGATGGAGAACCAGGTCGGCGCCATGGGTGTCACTGTCTGCGGACCCGGCGCGCTGAGCGACGAGGTGCGATTAGCCGTGCGGAACCGCCAGTACAACGGCACCATAGACTTCTGCGAAGAGGCCTTCAGCTGGTAGACCCTCCATGCCTTCATCAGTCATTACCACCGCGAACCGATAACACCCCGCGCATCTTTGTCGCAGGACAACAGCGACCTCTCTGCGTATACCCAGCGCGTTCTTTCTGGGTGTGTGTACATATTTACTATTCATGAAAGCTTTCTTTATCTTCTCGACGAAATCTTGTGTGTCTCGTCCCCAACTGGGGTGCGTCTCGGACTGCGACAGACATTGGCACGTTCCTTGTACATGTGGGCTGTAGTGCTTAATATGGCACGAGTGTGTGATCAGAGAGTCAGATATTTTGCAGTGGTAGCCGCTACATCTGGAACGAATGGAATGAATCAATCTGTCTCAAAAATGATGCCTCTTGAACTCTGCATGTGTGTCGTGACTCTGTATGTCCAATATTATACGTGAAGTTGTCGCCGCAAAAAGCTGCAGCAGCATACAGCTCAGTGCAGCTGATCGCTTACACCCGCCCCTCTTCTATCAGTGTGTACGCACACCTTGTACTGCACTTGGGACCTTTTCCCTCTCTTTGCCGGGTTGCCTCTCTTCTGTGACTGAATATGAAAATCGATCCCCACCCCATCTGAGCCTGGGCTGGCATCGGTCTCATCTTGTTTCAATCAATCGCTGAGGACCTCGTGACGGGCTGGAGGGCAGCAAGCTTTCGTCACAGCTGCGAAAGCTGGGAGTGCTTTTACTTTTTCGAGAAAGTTTTGATGTAAGCTGTAATTTCCTTTTGGGAACCCTACTTTTACAGTATCGGAAAGTCAAATCGTATTGAGTTTGGTTTTGGCTCTCGGCCATGACTCTGTTATGCTTAAAATTTCTCCGTTCAAAGGAAATGTTTCGTCTAATAATCGTGCTCAGAAACCATCATCTCAAGTCCCGTGCGCGTTCTAGCTTGTCTTTTGTTGAATTTGGATAGTACACCTAGGTAGTTAATACTCACGTCTTGGAGCCATCTTCAAGTAGCTCATTACGAACCCAGCTGGGACGCAATCTCGATATGATTCACGCGACATTTTGAGGCTTGAAGACAAGTATTCACAACACACGTTGAATTTGCCGCATCTCTTGATGACTCTGTCGTCATCGCTGGCAGAGTGTCTGTGTACCCAGCCGTGTCATGGTGAAGAGCAGCAGGGGCCAGTGACCAACGAGCACACTCAGGCTGGCGGCACTCTGGTTAAGCGTTACTGCCGTCACCGTGACTATTCCTTCTGCTCGAGGAGCACCCTACTCCTGCCAAGTATCAATTAACCGCTTCGACCGTTTGGTGCAGTATGGCTTTGGTCGTGTGCGTCGACGAGCCTTCTTGAGCTCCGAGTGGGTTCAGAAAGTGGGCTACAAGCCTGATGTTCTCAGGATGGGCTAGGTGCCGCGTCCGTGTGATCAAGACAGGATGCACACGTTATACGACTCCGATGCTTCTAGCGTGGTTGAAGATGAGAAGCAGTTTGGCTCTACCTGTACTATGGCGGTGAAGCAAGGGGCCTCCCCGAGTCCCTGTGGCGGATATAATAAAGGGTAAGCAGGAGGACTATCCTGTGTTCCGAGTTTCTGTGAAATTCTTCCAAGCGTGCTGCCAAATCTTATCAGTACCAGTATCAGGAAGTGATCTGTAGTCAAAAAATGGTTATTTAATTATCAAACATGGAAGGACGCACATACGAAGTCGAGGAGGCACCGATAGACAAGAACAATAGGTGGGTTCGTTCCCATATGCGTACAAGCTCTCAATTTATTGTCTTGTGGCGTAGACCAACGAGCCGATACGTTCTCAAGTCAGCTAACTGAGATGCATTAAGGACAAGCGCTATCGTTCGGCCATTGCACCTCTGAGCTGACCTCGGTCATCCCCAGATCAAGTCTGAGACACTGCGATGCAAGGCTCAGGGCCGTCAATATCAGCAGCCACATATGTGCTGATGGAAGGCCGAGTTTATCGTCGTAAGCATCATCACGGCGAGACTGAGACTGGGCCTGTAGTCGGCGCTGTCGATAACGTGGTCATGTTAAGGGGCCAAGTATGGCTGCGAACTAGGCACGAAAGCTGAAATAGGTGGGAATCGATAATGTTCATTTTAGTAAACACCGAAATTTATAAAGGATCTTTCCGTGTAATGTGTCTCGATCTCCCGGCTACCACGCGTCTTGAGTACGCCATCCTCTCGCCTTACTACAGGTATAGACGAAAATGAACGAACATATTTGTTGACTCGCCGGGGACAGTATCCTGCGCAAACCGTCGATGCTGCTCCCTCCCCCTGGCCTCTTCCAAATGACGAGTACGTGTAATATCCTGCTTGGCGATTTCAGCAAAGCGGGTTTGTATGTCTAACAAGTTGCAAAGTTAGGGGTCTATGTCATATTTGTCGACTTCATGTACTCAGTGATATTGAAAACTGTAATCGAGAACGCTAGAGCGAACTTTTCCTGAGCGCATAGGAAAGAGGTTTAGTCGGAGGCTGTGTGCAGCAAGGAGGGCCGAAAGGGCTAGATGGACTGAGAGCTGTATTTCAGACGCAGTGGCTTCTGCATTGGAGGCTTGGGCCCTGGGGCTTGAGCATTTCGAATAGAAGCCGATGGCCTCGTCGAAATGCCTTTTTTGGGGGTAATGCAGTGGGATAAAAAACAAGTCAATTGTCCATCGGCCTAGATTTCTTTGGATTGTCTTTAGAGCAGTACTTTGTGCTCAGTATCCCTTACACCGATGCTGATTTTCTTTCACGCCATTCACTTAGCCAGAATTGAGCGATGGAGAGTTCGTCTCGCAACTACAATGCGGGTTATCGCACAAGTGAGACAAACTTGAGTTTTTTATTTTAAAGAAACGAGGAAAAAGAAAAGAGGTAGTAGGACATTGAAAAACGGCACTGTTGATGCTTTACGGCCAATGAATATGACTGAGGATCCGTTTGAAAGCAAAGCGTGAAATGAATTTGACTGGAAAGTTGGTGTAGTCTAGTAGTGAAGTCCATGCCTTGCAGATTTGGTATGGATGACCTAAATGCATGGCCGTTCAATATTGCGGCACATTTAAAAAATGCCTTCGGTATGGCTAGAAATTTATTAGAGGCAATATGAGGATTACATTACAGGTGGGTAGAGCACTATAGTGTGTTGGTAGCGAGGAACCTTGTCAAGAATAACGAATACCCTATGCTCTCGCAGAGGACGTCTGCGCGGAGATAGCCTCCAGAACAAGGGGGACTAATTATAGACTATCGTGCTTGATCCTTCTGCAGACGTGCCACTATTTCCTATCTGAGTATGACGATGCCTGCTCCACTTTCGGGAGCCACTAGCCCAGTTCTTGACGCATGACATACGAAGAGAGGGGCCAGCGCTGCTTCTTCTAATGTCCAGAGCACGTCCTTCAGGACCCCGCTGTGGCAGAGGGAACCAAAGTCACAACTGGCGAGGCAAGTCAAGACCTCTAGTGGCATGATTAATGCCGTGTACACGTAAAAGGGCGAGCACTGAGCTTTGTTCTCATGAACCAGGCTTTAAGATGTCGATGGACAGCATATAACTGCAGTTGCATGGGCTATGCTCAGTTCCTGCGGGCATGACCTCACCAAGCTGCCGGGCAAGACAGCGCATGTTTCTGCTTCCGGACGTATGGTGCCGTGCAACACGCGACTGGATAGAGCCTGAATTTGTTGACACAATGTCGTGCTACACACCAAGTCTCGCAGGCAAGGTTCTCAGGAGTTTTGTATTCTGTGGGGATTTGAAAGATCGACGCGGTCGACTGGAAAAACAGTGTCCGCGGCCCCTCTTCCTATCATGCGCGGAGGACCCATAGATATTGCTGTATAGTCTAGGTCCTGTCTCACATTTTCTAGATGAGCCAAGCTCAGCTGACCTCTCAAGACTGCGTCGTTCTGCGAGATGATGTTGGCTGGCTGGGAAGCCGTGCGTGGAACTTTTTTTGTTTACTCTAGGGCTTACTTTTTGCACGCGAAGAGCGGCAGGGGCAAGGAGGGAGATGTAAGAGGGGGCGTCGTGCAAAAACAAAGCGTTTCTGCGACACAATTGGACGTCTGTGCCCGGTGGCTTCCTGCAGGGTGACTGCAAGATGACTGCAGGTAGATGAATGATGTGATGCCAGGGTAGATTCTTTCTTTCGTTGGGTTTCTTTTCGGTAGTCGAGGTAGCATCGAGGCAGAGCCGAGGCGGTGGTGCGGTTGTGCGGTGGTTGGTGGTCGGGGCAACGTAGTCCGTTAGTTCTGCAGACACGAGCAGGTGTCCAGCGCCCATTGTGAAACGACGGGTTATTTTGCCGCCTGGCGTGTGTTTGCGTACATACATAGTCCAGACACGTGCATTAGGACTGTGATCGGCACTTATCATGATTGGTGAGTTTAACCATCTCCTTTCCTTCTGTTGGGGCGTTGGCGTTCCTCGGGCTGAGCTTGATCGTCACAAATGATAAGACAGTGAGACAGTCACTCAGTCTGCAGAGAGCGAGTGAGCGAGTGAGCGAGTGAGGGACGAGAACCAGAGCATTGGGACTGTGAGCAGAGAGTTTGCTGTTGCGTGCCGTGGTACCCAGACATGCCAGGGTAGCATCCAAGATGCGCGATGCACGTCAACATCAGGCGGAGAATGGTGCTGGGGCAAGTTGGGGTGAGGAGGGCGGAGCCTCAGAAACCCAGTAAACCTTGGAACCTTGGAACGTTGGAAGTTAGCCCATTGGCCACGGCACTGCATCTGCTGTCCTGGTTCGAGACGAAGCTTGGAAGCTTGGAAAGTAGCCCCAAAGTCAATCCGTCGTTGGTCGAGTAGTCGAGCATGTCGAGCCATTGGGGGAGGCTGGGAGGCTGGTAGCGGGGTCAGCCTTCCTGGCGCGCACAGGCATATGCATCCCTATATCAGGAGTGGGGCGACGGGCGCGAAGCAGGTGGGCACCGGTGGGCCCCAATTGCTTGCTTGTGGGATGGGCATGCAGTGGCATGGTTCCTGCGGACTGGGGCCGTTGCCCTGGAAACCATCTTGGCGGGACCTGGGAGACCTGGGACAGGTCGAGCGCCAAAACCCAACAACCGCCCTCGCTTGTAAAACCTGCCTGCACGCAGGAGCACCCGCAGGAGCGAAAGCCAGAACTGCGCCGCCTAATTTCCATCCTCACTCAGCCCGACCCCCAGGCTCGATCTCAAACCCCAGCTCGCCCCAAGAAGACGAGAACAAGGCCGTCGTCGTCGTCGCTATTTCCTGTCAATCACTCAGTTATTCTGTCACTCAGTCACTCACCCACCCCAACCCGACCAGACCAGACCAGACCAGACCCAGGCCAGTCTTGCACAGCCCAGCGTCGTCTCTCATTTTCACATTTTCATTAATTTTCATGAGATGCATTGCTGCTGTCACAATCATCCCAGCCGAGCTGTGAGGGTCCTGAACTTGTATCTGTTGTGATACGCAAGCAAACACACGGCTTCCGCCCACTGCCTCTGACAGGCGGAGCATCGCATCGCATTGCATCGCACTGCATTGCTTCGCTTCGCTTCGCATCGCACAGCGCGCGTGCTCTCAGCTGTCAACAATCAATCCATCCATTCCTCTTCCATCTTGCCTTCGTCTGTCGTAAAACGGTGGCCGCATCCAAGGCCACAACTCAAGTGATCCCATCCGATCCAATCCAACTTAATACTCACAACACAGCAACCTTGAAGCTTGGTTCAAACTGCGCTGCAGGCCGCTGGCCCACTTTCGTGCCGCACCTCACCACTCGCTTGTCCCTCTGCTTCACGTCAACCTCAGTCAATCGCTGCCGCCATGGACCCCAGCTACCTTTCCCAGCAGGTCAACACCATCATTGGTCAATTACACGGCCTGTTCGACGAGATCGGCGTCCCCAGCCATGACCGCGATTCTAGAGAGGCAGAGGTATGTGAAAGATCGTCAATCAGTCCAATTGGTCTTCGTGCCGTGCTTGGTAACCTGGTAGACTGACTGAAATATCCACACATGCAGCTGTTCGCGGCCCTGTCCGAGACCCTGAACAATCAGGTGCGCCTTGTGACGCAGGAGAAGAAACAGATCATCTCAGAGGCCCAGAACATGATCACCACCATCCGCCAGATGGAAGCCTCACTTGAGGATCCCAAGCCCCGCGGTGGTTCCCAAGGCCAGGATGATGGTCTGGAAATCTCCTACCCTTTGACCAGATGTATTCAGGCATTGAAGGAGAAACATGCCCAGGTTAGCAGGGTGCACAAGGAGCGTTTCGCCCAGGTGAAGAGTACGTACCGCCGCCACTCCCGACGCTCAGTCCACCATCTTTATATATGAGACTGACATCCCGTAGAACTTGTCCAGGCGCTCGAGTCTTACTCGTCACATCTCGAACCCAGCTTTGTTAAGCTTGCGCTCCCACCCACCGGACCCAACCAGTCCATCCCGCCTAACTTCGATCTGTCTCCTTCTTACGTCGACAAGCTCGACAATGAGTTCACCAGGGTCTACGAAGAGTATACTAAGCGAATCTCAACGGTCCAGTCCCTCTCGGAGAACATCATTCAGCTATGGGCTGAGCTCGGTACCCCACAGGCCCAAACAGATGGCGCCATCGTTAAGTACTACCGCGACGCCCCCGAGCAACTCGGTCTGCACGAGGAGGATATTGCGCGACTCCGCGCCAGACTAGACAAGCTCGACAATGAGAAGCAGAACAGGGAGCAGCGTCTGCGTGATCTCAAGGATGCCGTCGAGGCCCTGTGGGAAAAGCTCGGCGTTGACGAGGCGGAGCGCAAGGCCTTCTTGAATGCCAATCGTGGCTGTGGTATTCGACAGATCAATGAATTCGACGATGAGCTGGCCCGGCTGAACGAACTCAAGCGACAGAACCTCCACCTCTTTGTCGAGGACGCCCGCTGCAAACTTCAGGAGCTATGGGATGCTTTGTATATGTCCGAGGACGAGATGCTCGAGTTCACCCCGGCCTTCTCTGACGTGTATAGCGACGCGCTCCTCGAGGCCCATGAGAGCGAGATCGCAAGACTGGAGACTCTCAAGGAACAACGGGCCCCGATGTTGGCTCTTATGGAGAGACACCGCACCCTGATTTCTGAGCGAGATGAACTAGCTGCTGCAAGCCAGGACGCCTCTCGACTGATGATGAAGCCACAGAAGGGCGAGAAGCGAGACCCCGGGAAGCTGCTGCGGGAGGAGAAGATGAGGAAGAGAATTGCAAAGGAACTGCCAAAGGTGACAGCTGATTTGCGAAAGGCTCTGGAGCAGTGGGAAGATGAGTGGGGTCGGCCATTCTTCGTACACGGTGAAAGGTACCTGGACAATATTGAAAACGACAGCGCCAATAGGGCAACCCCGGGGCCCCGATCGAGAACCCCAGCAAACACTTCGATGCCATCGAGATCAACTAGCCCAGCCAAGTCGGCACCACCCGTCAGCAGGTCCAACAGTGCTGTTGGTACCAACCGCTCGCAGGCGCCTAGTCGGGCTGGGGCTAAGACACCGACTGAGAAGTTCAATTCCCTTCCCACCAAGTGGTCCAAGCCACTGGGGCCCCAGACGAGCATAAACGGGAAGGGCAGCCCGACCCGAATCCCAGCCCGTGCTCCGCTGTCCAACTTGAAGCACGTCAACAATTCCCCTGACAAACTGAGGCAAGAGCCGGAAAAGGCCGACCTTGTGAGGCGCGGTACGGTTCCCGTGATGCGTGCTCCGCCGCCAAAGATGAGAGACCTTGTCTCGGTTCCGGAGATGGAGGCGCCTGTCAATCACTACCAGTCCTCCGACCGAGGATCAGGCGTCATCCGGCACATCGAGCCTGAGGACGTGTACGACGATCGTCCGAAGCAGCACAGTGCAGAGTATGAGCGACCTATCTCGCACCACGATTTTCGCGACTTTCCTGGCAAGGCCTCGCTCCGCAATCATGACAGCGGTCCCCCGTACGAGCGCTTCGCGCAGTCGTACTCCCAAGCCCAACGCCCCGCGATCCGCCAGATCTCGAACCAATCTAGTGACTCGAACGGGACTGTAGTGACGGGGTCGGAAAACTGGGAGACGTACGACGACACATCAGAGCCGGAAGAGGACGTCCCGAGTTCGTATTACGCCAAGATACGCGCGGGGAGGACCGACTATAGCATGGGGCCACCGAGCAAGTTCAACGCAAGCCAGCAGGCAAAGCGCCCGCGAGGAATCCCGCCTGCGCTCCAACAGGCGCATGTGATTGTAGATGGCGACGACAGACGCGTCTACTCTGGGAGCTCCGGCTGGACGGACGAGGATGTTTTCTAAGGAGTGAAGCGTGTCCGTCGTTCGCCGTGATCGACACTCTCACTGCTACCGGGTGTTTTCTCTTTTTGTACCCGATCGGTTCTCGACCCTACTTATACGACTCTTGAGAGAGTATGCCGCAAGGTTTTTTGTAAAACTCGAGAGGCTCGGCCGGCCGGCCGCGTCGTTCATATTCCAGTCCTTCCTGTTCAAGGGCTTTCGATTCTAACTGTGGGCAATTCCTGGAGGGCGGGGGTGGGGAGACATAGTTGATACCCAACCATGGATGGATGGGGTTCTCGTGGGCTGGGAAATGGAAGGGGAGGGCAAGGGTAGGAAACGGATGGAAGACTCGTGAAATCTGAGACTCTGGAGTCAGGTCGATACCGGCGTTCAAGGCTTTGTGTTTGTTTTCCGTTCTGTTCATTCTGGAAACACTGAGACGGACGATATGAGAGTCTGACTTGATGGTAGCTAGCTGCTCTGCCCCGATCAATGATGACGACTGACTGACTGTATGCGTTTATGGCTGGCTGTATCAGAAATCAACAGAGAATTGCTATTCCATGAACTCGTATCAAGTGTCTTCAAAATAATCACCTAGGCAATAGTGAATGTCCGAAGCTTGCTTGGGTTGGGTTGGGTTGGATTGAGTGAGCGAGACCATCCTGGCTGAGGCTCTGTTCTAAAAACAAACCATGGCATTCCAGAGTTTGGGGGATCGGCAGGGTTGCAGCTTCAGCGTTACCTCGGGAACTTTCAGCGCCCTTGCAGGTGGATCAGCGGCGTCGGACAGCCTTCGCGATTACATCAGATCCCCTATTTCGTCACAACACAACCGCCTGGCCACACTGGCCGCTGCTACCGACCTCCTGAATCATCACAACATTGGCCTGTACATCCCTCGACACGGCCCCTCAGCCCTGCGTGGCACCAACACAGCGTGACTCGTCGACGTGAACCGAGCTTCAGGTCATTTTCGAAAGCTCCAACAGCTATCCTAGCACCCATCCGACTCGCCTTATCCCTCGAAATGCGACCTCTAAGTCCCGAGTAATCCATCGTGCAGCCACATATGCCAACGATTCCCCCTCGCCCTCCCGAGTCTACCTAGTCCCTGCCTACAAAAGGCCATGCATGCCTCGAGCACACCTCAAAGCCACCGCTCGAACCTCCGTCCTGTCAACTCGAACGACCATGCCGGCCCACACAAGCTTACGCCCCAGGAGGCAGCCTTGCGCGGTGCGTCCCTCGCCTTCTCCAAGCAGCAACAGCAAGCCAGGAATACACGGAGGGAGAGCTTGACGCCCAGCTTGAATGATCCAGCGTTCTTAATGCCGCAGGACGGCGGCGCGCTCGTGGCGGCTACGTCGGCCTCGAGGATACGATCTCCGACAGGCAGTGTCAGCAGTCGACAGGGCAACCCGCTCAGTAGGCAAGGCACGGGGGCTGGAAATGGGAGGATCAGCAGGCAGACGACTGGCAACAGCAGTATCTTGCCAGACAGCGACATAGCACAGGCCACTGAGCAGGAGAGGGAACGTTTAGCACTGTTCCTCGGCTCCCCCGGCTCCGAACAGTCAAAGAGCCCGTACCTGCTGCCGCCTGGTGGCAGGGCGACGGGTGCGACCGCGGATCCAAAGTCTACGAGCTTTATAGCTGCCACGCTTGCAGCGAGCAGGAGCGTTAGTCCTGGCTCCAGCCCGGCCAGGCAGGGCGGCGGTGACGAGAGGACAGCCACGGGGAGATCACGTCTTGGGGAGCCGGCACCTATCCGGAGGAAACCCACTGTCCGGACGGGCAGCCCGGCGGTGAGCCTCTCAACCACAAGCTCGGACGGCCTCCCTGATACAGCGCACCTGCCTCCTACGAACTCGCTGATCTCAATGTTCGAGCTCAAGGGGGACCAGGATGTAGACCCTGTCAAGGACAGTCCTGGCCGGCCCCGTGTCAACAAGTCAAAGGGATGGCCTCTTCCGGATGTGAAGCTCGATGATGGCAACAAGGATAGCGAGGACCTGGACGTGGAGAATATCAAGCCGCGACGGAAACCTGTGCCGAAGACGAAGCCTAAGCCCAAGGTCAAGACGAAACCCAGGGACGAGACTCCGCCTCCGCCGGTCGTCAGGAGAGCCGAGACTGAGATTGTGTCCCCGAAACCTAGAAGGCCTGACACGAAGCCCAGGCTGGAGTTTGAGGCTCCGGCATCTTCAACTGGAGTGACAGAGAAGCCCAACGTCACAAGTCTGGAAGAGAGGAAAGCTAAACCAAAGCCCCCCAAACCGAGAAACTCGGATAAAAGCGAAGCCAAAGGCTCTAGCACAATGGCCCGTCCAAGTGTAGAAGATAAGGTGGAACCAGAACCACAACCTCCGACCCTACCAGCCCGGTCTTCCGCTCCACCGGCCAGAGCCAAACCACCGGCGCCGAAGAAGAGGCAGAATATGCAAAGGCTTTCCATCGCACCTAGCACCGATGGCCAGGATATGTCCAAGCCAACGTCGCCTGAAGACACGGCGGGGGCTAGGCCTTTGACTGGTGATTCTATGTCATCTAATGATACCTTTGTCTCAGCATCTTCGACGCCCACCCGTGCGGACTCACCGCCTGTCTTCGATCCTGCCTCTCGTACATTGACACCCAGAGCCTTACCACCACGTTCCGCTTCAGCCCGACCGGTCACCCCAGCTTTTCCAATCCGTCAAAACTTGACCGGCTCGTCCCAACTTCCTATAGACTCACTATCCGATGCTATGATGGCAGGCTCTCTTGCGTCAGCAAGACACACGCCTGTCTCTGCGATAGGCACCCGCACGCCGCCACCAGTGCCAGCGTCACGCCGCATAGGAGGCACGAAGAAAGCAGCCAGCCGGGCGACCTCACCGCACCACTTGAAGAAAACCCTGCGTGATCAGCGGCCCAAGTCAGACGACGAAGATGCCCGAAGACCCCACCACAAGAAAGGCCTCATCAACAGCAAGAAACACACACACCACGAAGGATCCCGGCGCAGGTGGCGCGAGGAGATCACGGAGCGTGAGAGGAAGCGCTACGAGGCCGTGTGGGCGAGCAACCGAGGGCTGTTCCTCGTGTCGGCGGCGCAGGCGTGCTCGGACCCGGAGCACCCGCAGTCGCACCGCCACAGGGGGCCCACGGTGCGCGACCAGAGCCACGAGGAGCTCTCGGAGCACGTGGCCAGCGTGGTGGTGCGCGACATCTGGGGCCGCAGCCGGCTGCCCGCCGCGGAGCTGGCCGAGGTCTGGGACCTGGTGTACGGGAACGGGCAGGAGGGCGGCGTGCGGGTGCGCGCCGCTCTGAGCAAGGCCGAGTTCGTCGTGGGCACGTGGCTCGTCGACCAGCGCCTAAGGGGTCGCAAGATCCCGCCGCGCGTGTCCGACAGCGTGTGGAGCAGCGCCAAGGGGCTGTGGTTGACTAATCCTGGCCATCATAGGAAGGGCAAGGGCAAGGGGAAGTGAGAGGTCAAGAACGATATACTACCGGGTTATAGAACGGCCTGGATCGATGGTGAAAGGCACTGTGGTTGCAACATGTAATATGGCATTGCCCCTGTCCTGTCCTTTTTGTATTCGGCATAGATCTGGCAGTAATGATACCCCCTCTGAGCAGTCTTTTCAGATAGAATTGTAATTCAATTGGTCCTCCGAGCGTCATGTAGGAAATATCCGCCAGCTGGCTGAGCAGAGTGAGTGAGTGAGTGAGTGAGTGAGATACTTGTCCTAGTAAAACTCATAATTTGGCAATCATTACATATATACATGTATAAACATGGCCTTGGTCAACCGGTTCTGCCCTTTGGGCTCTGACCACATGATGCGATGGTTTCATGCTTTCCTCCCATAGAGTCCTTCGTCTCAAGCTGGACGATATATGACTTGCATGGCAAGCACTCTCCCTCCTTAACCCGCAGAAATGACACCAGCTGCCACCATTCGCTTCTGTCAGCCGCCCAGAAGCTGTCGAGTGAAGATCACCAGTGGTAGTTCTTCGGATAGCCACCGATCACCCTGCGGCTGCTTACCGCCGTCGACCTGCGGGCAAAGGACATTGTCCTGCGCCCCTTGGGCCTTGGTGCCTCTGCGGGGGCTACCATCGGCTGCGCAAGGATGGCGCCGTAGCCCTGTGGTTTTGCTGGCGTCAGGCGAGCCTGCCCTCATTTGGGAAAGAGAAGAGCCCGGGGAAGGGGGGGGGGGGACTCACGAGGTCGTGGTAGATCTCCGGTGGGTTTCTTGGGTTGAACGGCCGGGAGGAACTGTTGCCCATTTTTACTGCGGTGCGCTCTTTAGGAAGAGCGTCTTGTGTTTGTGGAAGAGTGAGTGAGAGCTTGTTTGTTGATTCGCGTATCGCGGTCCCTATGGGTAATTTCTGATGCTCCAGCAAGAGGAACGCTGATCTTCAGGAGACTGGATTTCGGACAGCAGGATCAGTTGTGGTATGGGTCGTCTTGAATTATCATAGTGGTCATTAAGGAACCGAGGTTTGGAACCCTGGGCTTTCTATTTCATCTTATGCACACAGGACCTTCTTTGGGGGCAGACTGGCCGGGACGGTTTGTTTGACCGGAGAAGGCTAAAAAGCCCAAATTATGGAATGAGCAGGCTTGGATTGGCTGTGAGATACCTTCCAAAACCGTGTCTGTATCGTGTGTTGCGCATTGCAGCAAGTTGTGAGGGATGCGGCGCAGCAAGCGTCTGGGGCGCCAGGTCGCTGAGGACGATGGCCCGGCCGGGCCGTTTCAATCACGCGGCAGATGCAGTTGATGCGGCCTGGCTTGGGCCGGCTGGCCGCCGACCATAGACGATATAATCTGATGGTCCAACAAAATAAGTAAATGAAAGCACCGCAGAATGTGAAGACGGGTGGTTGTTGGGGAGCTTTGATTGTGTGACCACTTACGGGGACAATACACCCTCATCTCCCTCGACGTAATACTCTCACGCACATCATCTAGGAAGCTAGGAATCTCAGCGAGCGGCAGGCCGCCGGCCTCGAGCAGTTTTGTGGTCCCATCTAGCACCCTGTGGACGTCGACGCAGAACCAGTTCCCGATGGTCCTGTCGACGGGGTCCAGCGGCCAGGCGTTCACAGGCGCGAGGACCTGCCTCTCCACCACGCCCTCGAAGCCCGCTTCGACCATCCACTCCTTGTACTTGCGACCGGCCTCAAAATCGCGACCGAATGCGGTCCCTCCTGCAACGGCATACCGGAAAAACTTCGCCAGCGCCGAGCCGTCGAGGACCGCTGAGGCCTCGTCGTCGGCGCCGACGAGCTCCCAAGCGACGTCGTGGAACTCGGCCCACCCGCCTGGCTTCAGGTTGCCGTACACCTTGGCCATCATGCCTTTGATGTCGGAAAAACACGTGCACATGAGGCGCCAGTGGATGTAGTCGAACGGGACGTCGTGCACCCAGTCCTCCTCGCTGTCCTCGCGCTCGAACCGGCAGTTCGGGGGCACGTTGTCCGTGGGCTGGATCAGGCTCAGGTCCGTCCCGACGACGTCCGCGCCGGGGTGTTGCTTCGCGAATTGGATGGCCCATATCCCCGTGCCTGTGCCGATGTCGAGGACACTGGCGGGCTCACCTATGGGTGCTATCGACAGCCTGCCGCGGAGGAGCAGGCGCCACATGTGGTGCTGCAGGTCTGGGGTGCTCAGGCTCAGCCTCTGTGGGTGCGTGGATGTGTGTCTCATTCATGAATACATACCGAGACGATCTTGTTCATCCTGCGATCACGTCAGTAATCAGCCGCACATGCTGGACCGAAGACGAGATCGAGATCCATACCCCATCGTTAGGCAACAGATATTCTAACACGGCGACGGGCTGTTATCAGCTACGACTGTGTCGTGATCGGTTGGGACCTACGGCGGCAAAACTCACTGCCTTCGCGATATGCGTTGAACATGCGTCCATACTCTTCCACAGATAGCGCATCCGGTATGGTGTCTCCCCTGATAGATGGTCAGTCTTCTTCTCTTAGCCGTCTCTTGTGATGTCATGTCGCAACTGAAGAGGCGCGCTCGCTGTGTAACTCACGAAGACTGGCGCGCCGACGAGTTTCTAGACCCGCCAGACGAGGCATGAGAGCTCTGGGAGCCAGGCGTCGTCATTGGTTCCGAAAGGGGTGATTGTTGCAAGTGCTTGAGAGCCCGAGTAGGACGCACTGAAGGGTGAGACGATAAATAAAACGTAGTATTCCCTTGCGCTAGTCCGCACTTCCTAATGCTACCCTGGACCACGGCAAACCCCTGCCGACGCCGACCCCTCCAGAGAGGCACATTCAGTACCCACGAAGGTGCATAATCAATTTTCTGTGTTCGGTGAGCTGCTTCATATGCCAGATTGCCAGCTTGCTCATAACATTTATTGGTTGACTAGTCCCATCACATCCTCCAGTTGACTGAGCGATCCGAGACAAGTGTCGATTAAATCCAATAGGCCACAGCAAAGTATTGATAAGTGAATAGCCGTTTTGAAATAGGATTACATTCCAGCTTATTGGTTTGAAACAAGCTCTCAGTCAGTATTGTCACCTGTTTGTTTGTCCTTGACTTTTACTCTATGGATGAAGAAGCGAGCCACTATCAATGAATCGCTTCATACCCGCCTTCTTGTTCAGTTCTTACTCAGAACCTATCGACCGACTAGAATCATTCAGGTACAAGGGTATGTCCTAGTTGGGAGACACTCAAAGCTAGGTGTCGGGCATCATAGAGAGACACTGTTATTGACCTGACTAGGAGGAGGGTTATCAACATTCAACATATGTAAAGCACTATAGATTATGTAGCGAGTAGTAAAGTATAAATAAAAGCGTTATTATTCTAGCTAAGTTTGCTTTAGCAAAGAGTAAGCCCTTAAAATGTAATTTATAAGTGCTTTAGCAAGTATATACTCCCCTATAATAGCTTTTAATAGCTTATATATATACTAAATTTATAATATACCCTTTAAATACTATTAAATATTTACTTAAAAATAATTTAAAACTAATTATTATAAATATAACTAATTAAAAGGAATTTTAATAAAAAGAATATTAATTTAATAAAATATAGTACTTTTTTTAAAAAAAAGCGCTTAATAATTATAATAAAATATTTAATAATAATAACTTTAAAGCACTAATAAGCTTAATAATAATATATATTAATTATTATTTTAAATATAAAAATAATTCTTTAAAGTATATACTTTAATTTTTAATTTTTCTTACTTATAACTATTAATTATATTAATAATAACTTTTTTATTATTATTTATTTTATAATATATAATATTTTTTTATTTTTATTTATAAAAACTTTATATATAACTATTTAAATTATAATTTTTATAAGTAATTAATATATTTTAAACTTATATTTTTATAAAATAGTTTTTTTAAATTATTATTTATATATTTATTAAAAAATTCTTTTATTAATTTTCTTTTATTATAAGTTATATTAATAAAAATTATAAATAGCTAGCTTATTATATATTAAAAATTATTAAATAATATACTTTTTAACTTTTTTATTAATTTTAAAATATTTTACTTTTTTTTTATTTATAAATACTTTTTATTATTATTTATTTATTAAAATATTATTAATATATTTATTTAAATATAATTAAACTTTTAATTAATAAAAAAGCTTATATTATTATTAAAGTAAGTATAAAAATATTATAAAGCTTTAAAAAAAAACATTAAAAAGCTAAATATAAATAGCTTAGCTTTTTTTAAAAAATATACTTTAAAAGCTTTTTATTATATTAATTTAAAATTTTAAATATTTAATTATATTTTACTTATTATTATTTATAATTATAAAGCGCTTTATAAATTATTTTTTAAAAATAAGCTTAAATTTAAAGCTATAATTTAATATAATAAGCTTTATTTTATTTATATATATTTATTTATTAATAATAAAAGCAATAATAGCTATTTTAACTACTTTAATAATAATAATTACTATTTATAATATACTTATAGTAAAAAGTATTTCTTTATTTTTATTATTTTATATACTAATATTTAAACTTTTTATAATATAATTATTAATTTTAATAAAAAAGTTTTTATAAATACTTATATTATTTAAAAAAAGCATTTAAAATAATATTTTATTAATAAGTTTAATAATATTAAAAGTAAATATAGCTTATTTTTTATATTTTTAAATAATAATTTTAAAAAGTTTAATAGCAATATTAAGAATATTAATATAAAAAATATATTTAAAAGTAATAGCTTATTAATAAATAGTAATATTATTAAAGCTATTAATAAATATATTAAATTATTTTTAAACATATTAACTAATTTTAGTATTAAAAAGTATATTTTTTAAGCTTTTTATAGTTTTTTAATTAAAAGCTTTAATAAAAAAATTGCTTATTAAGTTTAAATTACTAGCTTTAATAATATTAAAAATATTAATAAAGAAAATTATTATATAACTAATTTTAAATACTATATAAAATATATTTTTATTTATATAATAAAAAATATAATTAAAAAGATATATAATACTTTTATATAAAGCTTTATAAATTATTTTTATTTAATATAGTATTACTTTTTAAAATTATAATATAATTAATATTTTAAATACTTAACTATTAATAAGCTTTTATAAGCTTAACTAAATAAAATTTATTAATACTAATATATATTATTTAACTTAATTTATTAATATTTTTATATTATAAAAGTTTAATAGTAATTAAAAGTATTTAAATTATTTCTTTATAAAGTTCTTTATAAGCTTATTAATTAGTATTTTACTAATTTTAAAGTATTTAATTTTAAATTTTTTTTTAATATTATTTTTTTAGCTATATTTATTAAATATTTAAATATTTTAACTAAATTATAAGCTTATTTTTTATTAATATAATAAGCTAAATAGCTTATTTATTATTATAATAGATTTTTTATAGTTTATTAATATTTAATAAAATATTAATAAAGAATTTTTAAAATATTATTATATTTTTAGTTATATAGTTTAGAATTATAAGTTTAGCTTTTATAATTAAAATAACTATTATACTTTATTTAGTTACTTTTTAATAAATTAATTTACTAAATAATATAATTATAAATTTTTAAAATAACTTTTAAGATTTTTTATTATTTATAAAAAAAGTATTTTTAATAATTAAAAGTATATTAATATTTTAAAGTTTTTTTTTATATTTAATTTCTAATATCTTTATTAAATAAAAGTATTATATTAAATAGCTACTTATATTAAAGTATATAGGTTTAAGGTTTATAAAAGATTATAAAAGCTATATAGCTATATATACTATATTTAAGTAAAGTATTATTATAATATATAATACTAATTTTATATACTTTTAGTATTTTTTAATTTTAGTATATATAGCTTTTTTAATATATTTTTATAGCTTGTTAGTTAGTAAAAAAGTTATTAGTAAGAACTTTTTATTGCTTATTAAATTAAATTTAAATATAATCTTTTTAAGGTATATATTATATATTAAGCTAATTATTATTATAACCCTAATAGAAATAAGACTAACAATTAGTTTTAAAGATAAGTATAAGCTAGCTATTATATAGCTAAATAGTAAAGAAAAAAATATACTAAGCTATATAACCTATTAGCTTATATAAAGTATAAATTACTTAAATTAGAACTAAGCTAAATAAGCTAATACTTAAATTAAAACGCTTATTCTTAAACTATTTAAACTAATACTATAAATTAATAAAATTAAATTTAAGCTTAACAATTCAAATTAAAAAAATAAATTATATAAAATATACTTATTATTAAATAAATAATATTAATTTAAAACAGCTTTTTAGCAATTAATTTAAATATTTATTTTAAATAGTTATAAAGCTTTTAATTAATTATTATTATATATTATTTAAAATATTATTATTTTAAACACTTTTTAAATATAAACCTATTTACTAAGTTTATTAGCTAAAAACTAATTATAATTATTATATTTTAACTATTTTTATTTAAACATTTTATATAAACCCTAAATAATAACTTATATAATTATTTTAAACTTTATTTTTAATATATTTAAATTTAAAAATAATAATATATTTTAATAATATTTTTAATAAAAATTAAATAATATATTTAGTAATAAAATTTTTAAAATTAATACTTAATAATTTTAAAAACTAGTTAATAAAGTAAATAAATTTTAAATTTTTATTAATAAATAAGCTTAGTAAAATAAAAAAATAAAATAATTTTAAAAAAAAGTTAAAACTTTTAAAACTATTATTAATATTATTAATATTTTAATTTTAATTAAAAATAATATTAAACTTAATAATCTAATCCTATATAATAAAACTTTAAAACAATTATAAACCTACTTTATATAAATCTAAACTTACTAACGCTTTTATTAAATAAACTATTAATTAAATAGTAAAAAAGTTATATATATAGTTTTTTTTTTAAAAGAAAAAGCCTTTATATAATTTAAACTCTACTTTATAAACTACTTAAAAAAAAATAACTTTAAAAAATATAAATAAAAAACTTAAAAGATTTTTAATAATTATAAAAGCTTTAAAAATACTTTAAAAACTTTTTTTTAAAATCTAAATAAAAAATAATAAGCTAAATAAAAACTTATAAAATTTAAATAAAAAAAACTAATATTAATTTATACTATAAAATTCCAATAAATTTATATTTAAATAAATTATACTAATAATACTTAAATATTTATATTTTATAATAGCTTAAAAAAAAAAGTAAAAAATAAACTAGCTAAATAAAACCAATTTAACAACTTTCTATAATATATTAAGCTAACTATTAAAATTAATAATAAGCTTTATAAATAACACCTAAAAAAAAAAGGCAATAATATAAAAAACTTTTAATATAATAATAATTAAATAAATATAAAAAGGCATTATTAGCTTAAAATTATAATATATAAATAGTATTTAAGCTTAATAAAGCTTAATATTATTTAAAAAAAAAATAAAAAAAAAATTAAATATTATAATTATAATAAAAAAAAATACTTTATAAAAAAATATAAAAGTAAAAAAAAAAAAAAGAATTAAAAACTAAAATTAAAAATATAATAAGCTAATATT